AACATCATTTTTAAATCTTTGGTTTATTTATGGGTCAGGATCTTGCTATGTAGCCAGCCTGGCCTTAAACTCTAATCAGTCCCCCTGCCTCAGCCTCTCAAACACTGAGATTACAGGTGCATACCTCCACACCCAGCTGGGACCAGATTTCTTGAGCATTTTCTGCATGCACACGGAGACCATGCAGGACTCAGCCTCCTCTGGCCATCCAGCAGGGAGACTACTCACTGATGTGCAGCTTTGTGGAAGGCCTGTTGGGAAGAAGGGTACAGTGCTCGCTGCTGCAAGCAGAGCACATCCTGCCTGGCAGGCAGCAGCCTCTCCCTGTCTACCTTGCCCCCAGGTAGTCCAGAGAGTCAGCAGAGTTGAGAAAGTGACCAAGATGAGCCTTGCCCTGGCCCAGATCAAGAAGCGGTTCCAGAAGGCCATGACTCAGTTTGTGAATTCTGTGCTACGGGCAGCATGTAAGACCCAGAGGCTGGAGACCTAGTGACGGACTCCGTGTCTCAGCTCTTCCTGCCCCCTTGTGCCTGGGCTCCCGGGGGTGGCTGCAGCAGGGGTCCCCACCATGGATAGGGTCTCAGGCCCCACACCACAAGGAATGAGGGGTGAACCCAGATCTCTCATGTCTGTCTCCATGTGGCTGTTTTTCTGTGTCCTTCACTCATGCTCTACCACCTCTCAGTTCATCTCCAATGTGCTCCTACATCCATGTGCAGCACATCTTCCTCTCTTGAAGGAGAAGCTCATGGAAGGCATCATTCCCTCAATCAGGCTTTCCCTGCCCTTCCAAGCACCCATAGGCCTGGCAGGGTGGCCTCAGGACCCTTATGTGTTGGTCAGGGCTCCAAGTCCCCCTCACAGCCAGTGGGCTGGCAACAAGGGGATCCCTGTGCTTCCCCCATGACCTCTCTGGGGAGCTTGTCCCTATCTCTGTCTCCACCCGTGGGAGCTGCCCTGACCGTCCCTAGCAGAAAGGGCTGCATCTTCTCTGACTGTAGCTCCCTGCATCACTCTAGTTACAAACCTCAATACCTAGCACCAGGCCCATTTCCTTCCTGCT